AGTTTTAGTATAAAAGTTGTTGTAAACTTTATTCTTAACAATATTGCTCTTTTGCACTTTTGCTCTCAGATGTATAAATATCGAGAAAAAACCGAAAATGTGAAAATTAGATGAAATCGTGGATTTACATCCTGTTGTTGGTATAACATAGGATTCAGTAGGTTTTAGAAAAAAAGTTTTAGTATAAAAGTTGTTGCTAACTTTATTCTTAACAATATTGCTCTTTTGCACTTTTGCTCTCAGATGTATAAATATCGAGAAAAATCCGAAAATGTGAAAATTAGATGAAATCGTGGATTTACATCTTGTGTTGGTAGAGCATAGGATTCAGTACGTTTTAGAAAAAAAGTTTTAGTATAAAAGTTGTAGAAAATGTTATTATTAACAATATTGCTCTTTTACACTTTTGCTATCAGGTGCATAAATATCGAGAAAAAATCGAAAAGGTGAAAATTAGATTAAATCATGGCTTTACATCTTATTGTTGTTAATGCACGGGATTGGGTACGATTTAGAAAAAAAGTTTTAGTACAAAAGTTGTTAAAAATTTTATCATTAACAATATTGGTCCATTAACTTTTACTCGCAGATGCATAAATATCGAGAAAAATTTGAAAAGATGAAAATTAGATGAAATCGAAATTGTTGGTAGAGCTAGGATTCAGTACGTTTTAGAAAAAAACCTTTGGTATAAAAGTTGTAGAAAATGTTATTATTAACAATATTGCTCCTTTACACTTTTGCTATCAGGTGCATAAATATTGAGAAAAATTCCAAAAGGTGAAAATTAGATGAAATCGTGGTTTTACATCTTGTGTTGGTAGAGTATGGGGTTCAGTACGTTTTAGAAAAAAAGTTTTAGTGTAAAAGTTGTAGCAAACTATATTTTTAACAATATTGCTCTTTTACACTTTTGCTCTCAGATGCATAAATATCGAGAAAAATTAAAAAAGGTAAAAATTAGATGAAATCGTGGTTTTACATCTTGTGTTGGTAGAGCATAGGATTCAATACGTTTTAGAAGAAAAGTTTTAGTATAAAAGTTGTAGAAAATGTTATCATTAACAATAATGCTCCTTTACATTTTTGTTATCACATGCATAAATATCGAGAAAAATTCTAAAAGGTGAAAATTAGATGACATCGTGGTTTTACATTTTGTTGTTGGTAGTGCACGCGATTCGGAACGTTCTAGAAAAAAAGTGTTGGTATAAAAATTGTACAAAAGGTTATTATTAACAATATTGCTCCTTTACATTTTTGCTCTCAGATGCATAAATGTCGAGAAAAATTCGGAAATATGAAAATTAGATGAAATCGTGGTTTGGTTTTTATTAGTAGAGCACGGGATTCGGAACGTTTTAGAAAAAAATTGTAACAGTTCCATTTTCATATTGGCCAATGAATAAGCTTTCAATTGATACATTGTTCATCAAAATCGATTGATAGGTACTCTTGTTACAATTAAAAAACTATACCTGTAAAATCCTACCTAATTGGGACTAACTTCGCATAGGTCCTAGAAAGGTCGAAGTTGAAAATAGAATCTTTCAAGTAGCAACTCAATTAAGTTAAGGACATATTATCGATTCGAAATATGAAGAGACTGATTAAATCAGGCTTCTTTAATACTAACGTTTTTAAGTTTGAATTTGTTATCCGCCTACATAAAATGTTGGCAGTTACGCTTCATCATCGACAACAAAATGCATAACTCACGATTTCTAAATTTAACGCCGTTGAATGTTCGAAGGTCGATGACAATTTTGAGAGCGCAAATTCTATTTTATTGCTAATAATAAGTCTCTAGAAATATCCGCAATTCTTGCGATTATAAACACAAAGCCTGTAATAAACACAAAGTACTATTGGTTCGGTTGAAGACGTGAAATTACGTAGTAGAACAGATCAATATACAATACTTGTAAGTCCCATGCATTTTTAAAAACGGTCGACTAGCTAAATGAGGTTAACGGAACGTACAAAAATCGACTGTTCGTAAAATATTAATTACTAACACTTGTATGTTGTTGTTAGTTTGAAAATTATTTAGATAATTTTCGTTTCAAATTGAAGTGACGAATTATATGTTTTATTAGGGAGCTTTAAGCTTTAATTTGGTATAATTTTCATAAATAAATCTTCATCGATTTTTATAATTTTCTCGTTTTTTTTTATGTGATTTATTTAAAACCTCAAAAACGCATCATTACATTAAATTTTTTTTAACAAAAACTGTTTAATGCTAAATAATAACTTTTATATTTCCTGAAAGAAGAAGATTTAAGCTTTAATTTGGTGCAAAACTTATTTCTTAGCTTTCATAAATATGATTTGGACGATTTTTTTAAATTCATCATCTTTTAAGTTGTTTCGGTTTACACCCAATTTTGAAGTTTTGAGTTTTTACAAAATCTGATTTAATTTGAAATAATAAATCATATGTTATCTTAAAAAGGGAAGTTTAAGCTTTAATTTGATATAAAAGTAATTTCTTAATCTTCACAAATAAATCTTCAACGATTTTTTTAATTTTATCGTTTTTTTCTATGTGATTTATTTAAAACCTCAAAAACACATCATTACATAAAATTTTTTTTAACAAAAACTGTTTAATGCTAAATAATAACTTTTATATTTCCTAAAAGAAGAAGATTTAAGCTTTAATTTGGTGCAAAACTTATTTCTTAGCTTTCATAAATATGATTTGGACGATTTTTTTAAATTCATCATCTTTTAAGTTGTTTCGGTTTACACCCAATTTTGAAGTTTTGAGTTTTTAACAAAATCTGATTTAATTTGAAATAATAAATCATATGTTTTCTTAAAAAGGGAAGTTTAAGCTTTAATTTGATATAAAAGTAATTTCTTAATTTTCACAAATAAATCTTCAACGATTTTTTTAATTTTATCGTTTTTTTATGTGATTTATTTAAAACCTCAAAAACACATCATTACATAAAATTTTTTTTAACAAAAACTGTTTAATGCTAAATAATAACTTTTATATTTCCTAAAAGAAGAAGATTTAAGCTTTAATTTGGTGCAAAACTTATTTCATAGCTTTCATAAATATGATTTGGACGATTTTTTTAAATTTATCATCTTTTAAGTTGTTTCGGTTTACACCCAATTTTGATGTTTTGAGTTTTTGACAAAATCTGATTTAATTTGAAATAATAAATCATATGTTTTCTTAAAAAGGGAAGTTTAAGCTTTAATTTGATATAAAAGTAATTTCTTCATTTTCACAAATAAATCTTCAACGATTTTTTTAATTTTATCGTTATTTTATGTGATTTATTTAAAACCTCAAAAACACATCATTACATAAATTTTTTTTTACAAAAACTGTTTAATGCTAAATAATAACTTTTATATTTCCTAAAAGAAGAAGATTTAAGCTTTAATTTGGTGCAAAACTTATTTCTTAGCTTTCATAAATATGATTTGGACGATTTTTTTAAATTCATCATCTTTTAAGTTGTTTCGGTTTACACCCAATTTTGAAGTTTTGAGTTTTTGACAAAATCTGATTTAATTTGAAATAATAAATCATATGTTTTCTTAAAAAGGGAAGTTTAAGCTTTAATTTCATATAAAAGTAATTTCTTAATTTACAAAAATAAATTTTTAGCGATTTCTTTAATTTTATCGTTTTTTTTATGTGATTCATCTAAAACCTCAAAAACACATCATTACATTACATTTTTTTTAACAAAAACTGTTTAATGCTAAATAATAACTTTTATATTTCCTGAAAGAGGAAGATTTAAGCTTTAATTTGGTGCAAAACTTATTTCTTAGCTTTCATAAATATGATTTGGACGATTTTTTTAAATTCATCATCTTTTAAGTTGTTTCGGTTTACACCCAATTTTGAAGTTTTGAGCTTTTATCAAAATCTGTTTTAATTTGAAATAATAAATCATATGTTATCTTAAAAAGGGAAGTTTAAGCTTTAATTTGATATAAAAATAATTTCTTAATTTTCACAAATAAATCTTCAACGATTTTTTTAATTTTATCGTTTTTTTATGTGATTTATTTAAAACCTCAAAAACGCATCATTACATTAAATTTTTTTTAACAAAAACTGTTTAATGCTAAATAATAACTTTTATATTTCCTAAAAGAAGAAGATTTAAGCTTTAATTTGGTGCAAAACTTATTTCTTAGCTTTCATAAATATGATTTGGACGATTTTTTTAAATTCATCATCTTTTAAGTTGTTTCGGTTTACACCCAATTTTGAAGTTTTGAGCTTTTATCAAAATCTGTTTTAATTTGAAATAATAAATCATATGTTATCTTAAAAAGGGAAGTTTAAGCTTTAATTTGATATAAAAATAATTTCTTAATATTCACAAATAAATCTTCAACGATTTTTTTAATTTTATCGTTTTTTTATGTGATTTATTTAAAACCTCAAAAACGCATCATTACATTAAATTTTTTTTAACAAAAACTGTTTAATGCTAAATAATAACTTTTATATTTCCTAAAAGAAGAAGATTTAAGCTTTAATTTGGTGCAAAACTTATTTCTTAGCTTTCATAAATATGATTTGGACGATTTTTTTAAATTCATCATCTTTTAAGTTGTTTCGGTTTACACCCAATTTTGAAGTTTTGAGTTTTTGACGAAATCTGATTTAATTTGAAGTAACAAATCATATGTTTTCTTAAAGAGGGAAGTTTAAGCTTTAATTTGATATAAAACTAATTTCTTAATTTTCAAAAATAAATTTTTAGCGATTTTTAGAAATTTATGTGACCCTCAAAAACGCATCGTTACAATAAAAATTTTTAATGCTAAAACAATAACTTTTATATCTCCCGAAAGGAGAAGATTTAAGCTATAATTTGGCACAAAAATTATTTCATAGCTTTCATAAATACGAAATGGGCGATTATTTAAATTCAACGTTTAAAATTAACCCACATTTGAGCAGAAATCTGAATCAGAATCGATTTAATTCGAGTCTTTTAAAAAATTACCTGGTGTTCAGAATCCGGCCAACTTGCTGTACACCCTTGGACTTGATCATCGTCCATTTTAACCAACAAATTCGCCAAAGCTCAACTCCGGCACCAAAAAAATTCATTAATTTTTTCCCCAAATCATGCAATTTTTTACCAAATCCACCCAAATCAATTTTAATCACTTTTCTTTAAGATATTTCTTTAAAATTTTACTCCGTCACTAATCAATTCACTCAAATAAGCGTATTCGATCACAAACCCGGTGAAAAGCTCGAGATCAGCAATCTTTTTTAAAAAAAAAAATAGGCAAAGCTCTTTCGCGGTCGATCGCAAAGCTTACGTGTGTAGAATTCCGCGCTTTATTTTTTGGGGGGAAGCTGTGTATGGGGCGACCGTGCTCGATGTGATGGTGTGTAAAAGCTCGCAACTTGAACGGCCTCACCCGAGCTTTTACGGGTTGAATCGAAACAAACCGAACGAGCTTCGATCGCGAGCAACACATTGCGAGCTTTCGATGGGTTCCGCCCTCTCTGTAAGCTTTTAGGATGAAATTGGTTACAAATTTATTTTGTAACCATGTATCTCAAAGAAAAAAATCTTTCATCGTTATTTAACCCTTTTTGATTTGATTCAAAATTCGATTTCAAAATGTGTTAAAGCTTAAAATTACGAATTAAGTCGTTAAATGAGTTAAACAGAGTCTGAAAACGAGATTTGTTTCCGATTTAAATAAACAAACAGGCTAGAAATTCGTTGGAAATCGATCGATTGAGACGCATTTACTATTTGTACTAAATAAAGTGCAATAAAATGCAAGATCTCACTTACAGCATTTTTAATTCCATTGGTTAATTTCCTTGGGGGGACGCTGAAACAATAAATATCAATTATAAATCATATTAGCTGAGTCATTTTAAATTAAAATTGAAATAAATAAAGTGAGTACTCTTTTTATTGTGCCAACGACTTCTTAACATCGATCGTTCGTAACCTGACCCAAATCCGAAAGCTAATTTGACGAAACAATAAAGTTTTATTGTCGTTCGTGTCGTGAACACTCCCCCTATAAGAAAAAAGTAAATACAATGATAGGGTTAAGTTATTGGGAGGGTCAACCGAAAGATGTTCACCATAACATCTAAATCGTTTTATTTTTAAACTTGAAAATGTACCCCATAGATTTCGAAAACTCACTAAAATTGAGTTTGTAACTTTTGGCAGGGCCCCGAATACGTTTTTGTGCGCTAATTGAGTTTCCATTCTCTCAATTAGCAAAGTTCTATTATAAACACAAAGTTGGAACACTTTTATTTCTTCAATTCGAATGATCAAAAATTTGTGAAAATATTATTATTAATATTATTTATTCTTAGCTAGTGTGTAATGATGGAAATATTAAACTTGGTGAATTTGTGCAGAATTGATTCACAAATTTGATACTGCAAGCCATATTTCAATATCTCAATTAGTTTAAGAGATATTATTTATTTAGCGGAGATAAAAAAATTCCATTTTTGAATCTTAATTTTTTGTAAAGTTAGATTTAAAAATTTATTCCTAGCTAGTGCACAATAATAAAGATACTAAAGTTGGTGAATTTGTATAGAATTGATCAACAAATTCAGTGGTACAAATCATTTTTGAATATTTTAAATAGTTTAGGAGATATTGTTTATTTAGCTGAGTTATAAAAATTACCATTTTCCAATCAATATTTTTTGCAGGGTTAAGTTTAAAAATTTATTCCTAGCTAATGTGTAATAATTTACATACCAAACTTGGTGAATATGTGTAGAATTGATTCACAAATTTGATAGTGCAAGCCATATTTCAATATCTCAATTAGTTTAAGAGATATTTTTTATTTAACTGAGTTAAATTAAAAAAACCTTTTTTGCAAGGTTAGATTTAAAAATTTATTTCTACCTAATGTGCAATAATAAAGATACCAAACTTGGCGAATTTCTATAGAATTGATCAACAAATTTAGTGGTACAAATCATTTTTCATTATCATAAATAGTTTAGGAGATATTGTTTATTTAGCTAAGTATAAAAATTACCCTTTTCCAATCTAAATTTTTTTGCAGGATTAAATTTAAAAATTTATTCCTAGCTAATGTGTAATAATGGACATACCAAACTTGGTGAATTTGTGTAGAATTGATTCACAAATTTGATGGTGCAAGCCATTTTTCAATATCACAATTAGTTTAGGAGATATTAATTATTTAGCTGAGTTAAAAAATTTTCCCTTTTTGACATAAATTTTTTGCAAGGTTGGATTTAAAAATTTATTCCTAACTGGTGAGTAATGATAAAGACACCAAATTTGGTGAATTTGTATAGAATTAATCAACAAATTTAGTGGTACACATCATTTTTCAAGATCTTAAATAGTTTAGAAGATATTGTTTATTTAGCTGAGTTAAAAAAATTACCCTTCTCGAATCTGCATTTTTTGCAAGGTTAAGCTTAAAAATTTATTCCTAGCTAATGTGTACTAATGAAGATACCAAATTTGGTGAGTTTATGTAGAATTGATTAACAAATTTAGTACTGCAAGCCATTTTTCAATATCTCAAATAGTTTAGGAGATTTTTTCATTTAGCTGAGTTATAAAAATTTCTTTTTTCGAATCAACTTTTTTTTTAGGGTGAGGTTTAAAATTTTATTCCTAGCGAGTGCAAAATGATAGAGATTCCAAATTTGGCAGTTTTGTCTAAAATTAATTAACAAATTTAGTAGTGTAAGCCGTTTCTCAATATCACAATTAGTTTAGGAGATATTAGTTATTTAACTGAGTTAAAAAAAATTTATTTTTGGATGTACATTTTTTGCAAGATTAGGTCAAAAAATTTATTCCTGACTGATGAGTAATGATAAAGATACCAAATTTGGTGAGTTTATGTAGAATTGATTAACAAATTTAGTACTGCTAGCCATTTTTCAATATCTCAAATAGTTTAGGAGATTTTTTTATTTAGCTGAGTTATAAAAATTTTTCTTTTCGAATCTACTACTTTTTTTTAGGGTTCGGTTTAAAAATTTATTTCTAGCGAGTGCAAAATGATAGAGAATCCAAATTTGGCAGTTTTGTGTAAAATTGATTAACAAATTTAGTAGTGTAAGCCATTTCTCAATATCATAATTAGTTTAGGAGATATTAGTTATTTAGCTGAGTTAAAAAAATTTCCTTTTTCGATGTACATTTTTTGCAAGATTAGATCAAAAAATTTATTCCTAACTGATGAGTAATGATAAAGATACCAAATTTGGTGAGTTTATGTAAAATTGATTAACAAATTTAGTACTGCAAGCCATTTTTCAATATCTCAAATAGTTTAGAAGATTTTTTTATTTAGCTAAGTTATAAAAATTTCCCTTTTCGAATCTACTACCTTTTTTAGGGTTCGTTTTAAAAATATATTTCTAGCGAGTGCAAAATGATAGAGATTCCAAATTTGGCAGTTTTGTGTAAAATTGATTGACAAATTTAGTAGTGTAAGCCATTTCTCAATATCACAATTAGTTTAGGAGATATTAGTTATTTAGCTGAGTTAAAAAAATTTCCTTTTTGGATGTACATATTTTGCATTGTTAGGTCCAAAAATGTATTTCTAACTAGTGTGTAATGATAAAGATATCAAATTTGGTGAGTTTATGTAGAATTGATTAACAAATTTAGTACTGCAAGCCATTTTTCAATATCTCAAATAGTTTAGGAGATTTTTTTATTTAGCTAAGGTATAAAAATTTTTCTTTTCGAATCTACTATCTTTTTTAGGGTTCATTTTAAAAATATATTTCTAGCGAGTGCAAAATGATAGAGATTCCAAATTTGGCAGTTTTGTGTAAAATTAATTAACAAATTTAGTAGTGTAAGCCATTTCTCAATATCACAATTAGTTTAGGAGATATTAGTTATTTAGCTGAGTTAAAAAAATTTCATTTTTGGATGTACATTTTTTGCAGAGTTAGGCCAAAAATTTTATCCCTAACTAGTGAGTAATGATAAAGATATCAAATTTGGTGAGTTTATGTAGAATTGATTAACAAATTTAGTACTGCAAGCCATTTTTTAAAATCTCAAATAGTTTAAGAGATTTTTTTATTTAGCTGAGTTATAAAAATTTTTCTTTTCGAATCTACTACTTTTTTTTAGGGTTCGGTTTAAAAATTTATTTCTAGCGAGTGCAAAATGATAGAGATTCCAAATTTGGCAGTTTTGTGTAAAATTGATTAACAAATTTAGTAGTCTAAGCCATTTCTCAATATCACAATTAGTTTAGGAGATATTAGTTATTTAGCTGAGTTAAAAAATTTTCCTTTTTGGATCTACATTTTTTGCAGGGTTATGTCAAAAAATTTATTCCTAATTGATGAGTAATGATAAAAATACCAAATTTGGTGAGTTTATGTAGAATTGATTAACAAATTTAGTACTGCAAGCCATTTTTCAATATCTCAAACAGTTTAGGAGATTTTTTTATTTAGCTGAGTTATAAAAATTTTTCTTTTCGAATCTACTACTTTTTTTAGGGTTCGGTTTAAAAATTTATTTCTAGCGAGTGCAAAATGATAGAGATTCCAAATTTGGCAGTTTTGTGTAAAATTGATTGACAAATTTAGTAATATAAGCCATTTCTCAATATCACAATTAGTTTATGAGATATTAGTTATTTAGCTGAGTTAAAAAAATTTCATTTTTGGATGTACATTTTTTGCAGGGTTAGGTAAAAAAAAATTCCTAACTGATGAGTAATGATAAAAATACCAAATTTGGTGAGTTTATGTAGAATTGATTAATAAATTTAGTACTGCAAGCCATTTTTCAATATCTCAAATAGTTTAGGAGATTTTTTTATTTAGCTAAGTTATAAAAATTTTTCTTTTCGAATCTACTACTTTTTTTTAGGGTTCGGTTTAAAAATTTACTTCTAGCGAGTGCAAAATGATAGAAATTCCAAATTTGGCAGTTTTCTGTAAAATTGATTGACAAATTTAGTAGTGTAAGCCATTTCTCAATATCACAATTAGTTTAGGAGATATTAGTTATTTAGCTGAGTTAAAAAAATTTCATTTTTGGATGTACATTTTTTGCAGGGTTAGGTCAAAAAATTTATTCCTAATTGATGAGTAATGATAAAGATATCAAATTTGGTGAGTTTATGTAGAATTGATTAACAAATTTAGTACTGCAAGCCATTTTTTAAAATCTCAAATAGTTTAGGAGATTTTTTTATTTAGCTGAGTTATAAAAATTTTTCTTTTCGAATCTATTACTTTTTTTAGGGTTCGTTTTAAAAATATATTTCTAGCGAGTGCACAATGATAAAGATTCCAAATTTGGCAGTTTTGTGTAAAATTAATTAACAAATTTAGTAGTGTA